TTCATCTTCCATCACATGTTCTTCTATGTGTAACGTGTGGCTTAAGCGATTCTAGCAACGCCATTGATGGAGTTTTTATTTCGTTTTTAATTTTTTTAATTTTCTTTTCATGGTTGTTGCCCAATTTACTCGATTTGGAATTGACTCCAGACCCAAAAGGTTCGTCCTTTCTTAAAACTTTTTCTTTCCATTCTTTAACAAACATTCTAAATGATTGAGTGATTTGGATTTTCGGAACACCTTTGAAATGATTTCGAAAATTAATTCGTGACAAAATTAATATAGGCCATATTGCATTTTTATCTATTTTTTAAATATGGTATATGGTAGTTACAAGAAATAGGGGACTTATATCTTGAGGTTCAACCAACGTAGACGGAAAAAAAAAATCAAAAAATCAAATTTCAAATAGTTTACCACATTTGCAAAATCCAAAAGTTGTTGCTATGTCGGTAAATATGACAAATATTTTATCTATTCATTACAGATTCTCGATTATTAATAAAGAAATTTAATTTTTAAAAATAAAATTGTTATTAGACTGTTTTTAAAAATACTCAATCATCATATTTCGCGGAGATAAAATGTATAAACTCGTCTTTGTATTTGTCAATTTAGTTGAGACGCACCTTTTATATTATCTAAGGTGGATGAGATTATGGATTGTGACAAATAAACGAATATATGCATGAATTAAATAATTTACTAGAAAAATAAGAATAGATTCAATTATGATTCAATTATCTAATTTATCATTATGGTCTTTGATTAAAGATAATTCTCAATATTATCTTATAGATATTTTGTTTTAAATTTACGCTTTGAAATATGGTTTTAAAAGAAAAAAAAAAATCAAATTTCTAATCATGACCTTAGTGATAAAATTATCTAACTAAGAAAAACAACAAGATAGCATTAAGAAAACATTTGAACATTTTCTTAAATTGTTGAAAAATTATTTGAGAAGATAAAACAAAATGTGGTTGACAACTCAACAAAAACTTACAGATGGGTTGTAATTTGAAAATATTTTACAAATCTAACTTTTTCTAGCCACTACATTTTATATTTTCTTTCAATTTTGATCCTGAAATCAATTATTTAGAAAACAAAATAGGATTCATTTATTATTTCGTTGCTATAAATCTATAAATGAAGAAAAAATAAAGATAATAATGTGAAAGGTAGAATCTAGATTAGTTGTTTAATAATTTTAAAAACTAGCTTAGTTTATACTTAAATCATAATAAGTTTTGGGTCAATCTCTTGAGGTCGGAAGCTTTGTATTCCAAAACAAAACAAAAATTTCCAATAAATTTTGGGCTCAAATGGAAGGCGAACTTTGCCTCCACCATTGGTAGCCCAAAAGCATGGACTGGATCAGCCAGCTCCATTGGAAGAGACAACTACTTCTGCAGGTCCATTTTCAGAACTCGCGGTTTTAGGGGAAGGGCCCAAGTAGCAGGTAAAAACGACGGCGGAAATGGAGGAGGGGATCGGGACTCGGGAGATATTCGTGGCAAATATTTAAGCTTGAATAGAATATTTCTCATTCTGGTTCATTTTCATTACAGCACAAGCTTCTCTCGGTGTCTTTGATTTGGTATGGTATCCAATAATTCGATTCCGTCGTCTCGCTGATTTCGAAAACCCTTTGATTGTTATTCTTCTGATTTCTTTTCGGCTGCAGGAGGCTTTCTTTCTATGGCAAAAAGCTCGTTCAAATTGGAACATCCCCTGGGTTAGTTTTTCATGTTAAACCAGAAATCTAGGGTTATATTTTCTGGGTTTATATTAAATTTGTCGGGGGATTTTTCTTAGTCATTAGCACACAGTTCGATTCCATCTCTTGATTGATCTTAGCCTTCATACGTCATATTTGACATGATTGGGGTTGCGATTTTCTTACTTTTAATTATGGCTTTATTGAATGGTCGAACCCTGATATGGATGCTTGCTTATGAAAGGATTATTGGGTCTTAATCACCGTGATAAATCACCTTCTTTGTATATATTTTGAACTCTAATTAGATTCCCGATACCAACATGTGAAATATTTATATCAATTGAAGAGAAATTGGAACTATAGTGTTTGAACTCAAGATCTATGCCTAATTCCATGTTAAATCGTCTCTGAACTGAAATACTGAAGATGATGGATATGGACATATGGTGTATGATATACTATAAGAAATAATAAATGTTTAAAACATCCGATAAGTTAATGTTGGAGCTTTTTGTTGTTAGAATATTTACACTCCCAATAATAAACACTAGAGAAGAAAATAAATTTCTTTAAATTCTGAATTGACATTCTGAATGTGCCAGAGAGGAGGCAGGTTGAATCTGCTAGGATCCGAGAGAAGTATCCCGACCGAATTCCGGTATGATTTTGTACTTCATGGATGTGTAATGCGTGCAACTATCTGAGAATTCTTGTAATATCTCTTTCATTTGTTTGAACGTCTGTTGTATGACTGGTTCAGGTGATTGTGGAAAGGGCTGAAAAGAGTGATGTGCCAGAAATTGATAAGAAAAAGTAAGTTGCTCTATGTTTTCTTACTAGCTGAAACACATTTTCATTTTATTTAGGAAGGCGCCTTAAATATCTTTTGAACCGCAAATAAAACAATCAATTTTTGTGAATTTTTGTGAAATTTTCAGTATTGCAAACATTTTACGAATGCTGCGTGGCTTCTCCTATTGAGTTCTGTCATATGGAGTTGGTGATAATATTGATTGTACTTATATTATATGACTTGTTGGTGAATTGTCTAAGTTTTCCCCCCTTTCTTGGATCAACAATGTTCAGGCTATTTTAACCTCGGTGTCATGTTTGAAAGAATTTTGTTTGTTTTCCCCTGTCAATGGTGATTGATATGCATGTAACAATGTTCAGTAGCACGCAAGCTCGAACAACATTCTCACAAATCAAATACGTTAATTACATTGAGATGGATTTGAATCATCTTAAATCTGTATTCGAATATGATGAACAGATTGTGTAGTTTAGGTAGAACTATTCCTTTTGAAGGTCTAAAAGCTAAGTTATTGAGCTTCAAAATTGATAATATCTAAAAGAGTTCTGTAAGGATCTGATTATGGGAAGGGCTATTAGTGTAGAAAACTGTTAATGGCGATAATTCTTTGAGATATTGAAGCAGGCGTCGACACTTTAAAAGTAATCTTCTTTGACGGGCTGTTATCTAAAGGAAGATTATGTTACTCTTGTTAATGATTGCAGATATTTAGTTCCTGCTGATTTAACTGTTGGTCAGTTTGTTTATGTGGTCCGAAAGCGGATCAAGCTGAGCCCCGAGAAGGCCATATTCATTTTCGTGAAGAATATTCTGCCCCCAACTGGTGAGAGCAAAAACATAATTCTGCCCCCGGTCGTTTACTTAATCTCTACATTATGATTTACTGCTTCTAAACATTGGTGTTGGTTTTGTTTTGCAGCTGCTATGATGTCTGCCATTTATGAGGAAAATAAGGATGAAGATGGTTTCCTTTATATGACCTACAGCGGCGAAAACACCTTTGGGTTGCTCTGAAATGATATGATGCAAATGTGTATAGAAAATGGGAGGGAAGGGGAAGGATCACATATGCTCTTCTTGTACATTCCCCTCACTCCATCAGTTGACTCTGTTCTTTATGCCTTCAAATGCAAGATTTTCTGTATAGTTTATTCAACGAAGACTGGTCCTATTTGTGTTATTCAAAACTTATGCTGTAAATAGTGGGAGTTTATAACAGTTGGTGGTATTATATTTCATTTCTCATCTGCAGACGATCTGACTAACTGAAAAATCTTTCAAGTTTTTTAGATTGACAAAATGCAGGCAAACCAAGAATCATCTAAATTTGTTTTCACAAAAAGCATCCAAACTACAAGTTATATGTTTAGGAAAAAATGTTCAACAGGGTAAGTTCATGCATTTTCAGTCATTTGGAGACCTTTTTCTGGTACTGATTCTTGACCCATTTGATGCCTACTGAAGTTCCAGATTTCACTTTTTGAGCACCCACTGCTGCAACAGCCTTCGCCTTCACAAAGCCAGCTGAGGCTGCTGCCTTTACCTCTGCCATCTTCTTGCTACTACTGCCATTGTTGCTCCCTTTCTTCTTTGTCACCCTGTTCTCGTCCTCTTCGACTCCGTAATTGCCCGAACCCCACTGATCCGCCCAGCTTGGTGCTTTGCTTCCCATTATCAACTATCACCAAAATTTCCAAAAAATTATCTCTACTGAGCATGGATGAATTGTAAGTCTCAGCCTAATTTTGAACTCTGTTTGTTAAATCAAGGAAATCTTGTAATATCGTCTTTCTAGATTGTCCAATTAAAATAGAAATCAAATCAGCAAATATCTGAAAAAAAAAAAGCCGGGACGCGAAGGGAGACAATAAGGACCAACCTACCTACCAAATCCCCCAGCGACAATCTTCGCGGAAAAGAAATAGAAATCAAATCACATCAGAAAAAGGTAAAGGGAAAAGAAATCAAATCCCATCAAAACTGATGAGGTGACATTTGAATTTATGAAGTTGAACTTACATTATATCAAATTTGTAGAACCCCAACTATTGACATTCGTAAAAATAAATAAATAAGAACTCACAAATTAAATGTATTTTATATAAATATAAGTCTCTAACCTAAATTTTTTAACAGTTTAAACTAAACACAAACAGGTCCTACAAGAAACTGGCTATAGAACAGTGAAAAGAATGGCGAAGAAAATCCTTATAGAAGAAGCAAACGAAGGTCAAAGTCACTTCAATCAGATGAGATTTAGAGCATACGCATTAAAGTACTAACCGGCAACACAGATTCAAATCTATCAAATCTCGTTTTGAAGGTCGAAACCAATCAGAAATCAGATTCATATTTATCAAAAGAAATCCAAAAGTCGTCTTCAACGATCGAATCGCTGGATATAACTTCAGTGGACGGAACCGCCCAAAGAAAATGAAGGAATGAACAAGAACCGAATCAAATAAACCGCAAAAATCTTCCAAAATAAGAGACCAGAAAAGGCAGGAAACAGGCAAGGAAGCCGCAAAGAAAGATACGTACGCTAACATAGTTGAAAAAATAGAGAAATAAGAGCGATGCAGAGAAGAATACCTAGAATTTGACGAGGCTTGAGGAAGAAGATGAAGCTGCTCCTGCTCAGCGCGAAGAGGGGGAGAGACTACAGAGAGACTTGGTGGGTAGTAAGTCTTAGTGGGGCCCTCCACTTTAGTTGGTTTCCAACCTGTACCTGCTTCTTTACACGTAAGGCCCAAGGGGAAATTTCTAAAAAAAAAAAAAAGTTCCATCTTAAAATAATTGAGTAAATAAAACACATATTTATTTTGATGTTTGGATTTTTCGTCGACCATTCTATTATTGTTGAACTTAGTATAATTATAAAATGTTAAAATATGAGGGATTAAATTGAAAAACCCATAGGACTAAAATATATTTGTAAATATATTTTCATATAATAATAATTTATAAATATTAATTATAATAATATTTGCTACCCATCAAAATTTTCCTTTTTTTAACACCCATCACATCATAGACTTTTTATGATTTAAATCTTATTTTGACATTTAAATTTTCTTTTCTTGCTTTATATTTTCAAATGATTTTTTTATTAATTCTTTCACAAATTTACATAAAAACTACTTGAGATCATTGCAATTGCTTTCGGATTGGATCTCGGTATTTCACTTAACAAAAATGAATTATTATCCATTTTAAAATCTAAATATTATTCATAAACTATTAAATAAATATAGAGTAATTATCTTTATTCGCGCTTAAAAATAGTAGATTGATGATGACAATAGAAGGAGCGGAGGATATCGTCACGTCCAAGTTGGCAAAAATAAAAATATTGCTGTACTAAAAAAGTAAAAAATAATAAAAAAATTATTATTATTAAACTTTGCTTCTTGGGCTGCCCTGCCCGTTTATCAAAAAGTCGTAATCATGTCCAACAACAATATTTCCAATAGATTAAAATATTAAACTACGAACACCAACTTTTTTTTAACCAGTCTTAGCCCTCCACTGGGTTAATCAGAAAACTGTTCACATCACAAATTAGTTTTTTTAATTAAATAATTCACTTTGAAAAATTACTTATCTTTATTACATCAATTCATCAAAAAAAAAAAAGTAAAAAACAATTATAAAAAACTGTTGTTATTATAACTAACTGTCAAATTATTAATCCATCAGCTTCTTCTCCAGAATTTCCTTGAACAATATCCCAAATTAAGAAAGAAAAGGTGTATTATGATCGAAATAAGATTTTTTCCCCTTTAAAACATCACTTTTAATTAATAATAGCAGTGTGTAGTTTACCTTACCAATCAATTTCTATTGCATTTAATAAATAGGTACAATCTATTAATAACTTTCAACTACTAAAAATAAATCTCCTCCTCAACATGTTGTATTAAAAGAAAAAGGTTAAATTACAAGTTTGGTCCTTCAACTTTTAAGATTATGTCTAATAAATTTTGAAATTTTAAAAATATCATTCATTTTTGTATCCAATTGGTCCGTGTGTCTAATAAATTTATAATGCATGAGACATTTTTAAAAATTCAAAAATCTATCAAACACAAGATTAAAAGGTTAAAAAACTGACAGGTTTTAAAGTTAGAGATTTATTAGACACATCATCAAAATTTAAAGTGAAAATTTATAATTTAACAAAAAAAAAATAATATAAATTTTTTAATGATGTAGGTATAAGCAAGTATTGTGATTGTAAAATCCAATTAATTAGACATTAAAATGGGGGTTTAAGAGTTGGTATGTCCTGGTCATTGAAGTGGCTTAGGATTCCAGAAAGTAGGTATGGCCAATTATTGTGAAATCTAGGCTGTCCATCCCAACCGCCAACCTACCAAGAATTCAACCAAGAGAAATCATGATTAATCATAATTCATACCTTATCTCAAATATCAACCAAACAAATTTAAATACTATTTCAATTCTAATAATTTTTACTTGTGTTTTTTTTCGTCCAAATATTTCTAGTTTTTATTCTTTTTAGTCTCGGTCGTTTTAATCGGCCATATACTTGAAAAGAAAAAAGTTACTATCGTTGATCGACTCTTAAATTTTCATTTTATATCATTTTCTTTTTATTATAAGTTTAACATAATATTTCACCCACTAAATTTTTTGAAATATAGTCATAAAATATTTGTATTATAAAATTTTGTAAACAAAGATCAAATTCGTCGTTAAAGATATAGCGAGATTAGAACAAAAAATTTTGAGAATACAAAGATTAAACTGAATACAAAGATTAAAGTAACAAAGTGGTAATTAAATCCGAGGCAATAAGATTTTTATGGAGGAGTAGAACTCCTAAGAACCACAAAAAAGAGATCTCCCTTATAGAATTAGGAACTTTCGTATTAATTAGAAAAATAAATAATATTATAGGAATTTGAACTCGATAGCATTTTCTAATATATTTCCCGAAAATGCCAATAAATTAAAAATAGAAGTCAATTTTGGCAAACGTACAAAAAATACAAAAACAGTTTCAGAGGGAAGTAAATGCGTAGAGGCTTGTCTATTTGCGTTCAAGTTTTGTATATAAAAAGGGGAGAAAAAAAGGGCAAATTTAGCTGTCCGCTGCAGAGAAAAACCGGTTTGTCGAAGCGCCGCGCCGGCGGGGAAACAAGAGACGATCAAGTGGCGCGTGTAAGATGGCATGGCGGCGCGTTTGGAAGGCTTTGAAGGGAAAAGATCGGGTTTTATGGCGGAAGATGAGTTTGAATTTGGGTGAAGGTATTGACGTGTCTCAATCTGAAAACATGGTTAAGAAAGAAATTGATCATAGGGTTTCAAGATTATGTTTAGCCGTGTGAGTTTCTGATTGAGCCGCGTCAATATCTTTCCTGAAATTTTGTACATCTCCGCTAATTCGCTAAGGTAACTCTTAACCTAATTTTTCTCTATCTACTTTATATTGACAAACGTACACGCACTCAAGAATATATGATATATCATCCTAGCCTTATGGAGTATGACTTGAAAGGTAAATATTTTTGAGTTATATCACAATTAGATCAATTATCTTTTAACTATATCAACGCCAAAAGAGAACCTCCAAAATCCATTTGAATAACAAGATTAGCTATCMTCTGYCTTATTCTTTCATGTTGTTAAGAGTGTTAACTTATAAATTGAAGTTAATAAATTAGAGTACATTAATTGAATGGAGAGCCAGAGTCCTCCGAGTAGAGAAGACTTATAAATTAATCCAAAATTTAGCAACTGGATTTGTTCTATGATTCAATAGATTCTCCCACACAAGCACAAACCACAGACAATTTTAGGAATTTTTGAACTAAGGGGATGTATCTTAATTCAAGAATCAGGATTTTGAAACAATTATGGTGGTATAAAATACTCGAATAAAGATTATATATTAGAACTTTTTTTCTTCAAAATCAACATGTTTTTTATTTTCAACAACGTTTTAGTTTTATCTTTGCTCAAGAGATGATTTTTTTCCCCTCAAGTTCATTCGAGAGATGAGTTTGGAACTCTCTAGATTTAAGATTGAGATTCATATTAATGTGTTTTCTTAGCTCAACAACACAGGGTGAAGACTCAAACATCGAATTTGGATATGATGATATATGTCTTAACTAATAAACTATATATATTTTCATGCATGTAAGTAATATCATGCAGATAAAATTTTGGCCATGGAAGATTTCTTCCAAGATAATATAACTTTCTTCCTCAAAACACCTCACATTTCTGCCTGTATTTTAGTTGTTGGTGTTACTATTTTTTTATTTTTTATTTTTTTTTTTGATAGCTGGTGTTTGTATTGTTAACTTCTCACTGTGACTAGTTCTATCCAATTAGCATACTTCCATGTGATTTGTGATAGCTAGTTTTATTTACATGGTTGAGTTGTTTATATTAAATTTTATGTTATTAAAAATCATTAATTATCTAAAATTTAATGGGTGGATTGCAAATTTTATATGACACATGAGTTATCAAGCTATTTTGACTATATTTGGATTTTTTTTTAGTTCAGTAATTCCATGACAATTATCAAATCATCAAATCGTCGACTTTAGTTAAGATGATAATAGGTATTTTATCTACTTAAATTGACGATTTTTTTTCTTTATTTTTTGATAGAATAGTTAGATAGTTAAAGTACATCAAATATGGTTATTAGAACTAATATACATGATTCAAAACCCTGCTTATAGTTTTGTAGAATAATTATGGTTTGCTTTGAATGGTATTAAATTGATCATAATACTTTTCTATTTATGAGAAGTGCTTGTAAATGTCTACATATTTAGTGCGTATTTAGAATGCAGTTTAAAGTGTTTGAAAAAGACTAAAGTGTATTTATAAGAAGAAAAATGGTAATATTTGGTTAATCAATAAAACATTTTATTTAAAGGAAACTCGTCCTAAATTTTGAGATTTATAATATGCAAAAAATTTATCAATATAAAACGTTATCATAACTTTCTAGGAAACAATTTAATATTTAACACTAAAAAGTTGACGGTCAACTGAAAAGATAAATAATCAACAACTCATTTTGTAACATTTTTATATTTTATTTTTCCCTCGTTATTTCAGTAAAATTGATAATAATAATAAATTAATTAATTAATTAAAGAAATAAACAGTATTCACTAACCACCTAACGATTTTTTTTACATCTACTTAAGCATTTATAACTTGCAACTTAAAACAGAGCTCGATTAGTTAGAGTGGTTGCCGACGTAAGTTTAGTTTGATTGAACACGACATATCCCTTTAAGTTAAACTATGTTTAAATTGGCACTTTTCTATTGTTGTTTTATTCCATGAACATGAACTAAAATTAAATAAATTAAAATAAACCAAACAAATGTACATTGTCTTATTGTCAAATGTACACCCAACTTAAATTATAAAATTACAAAAAATATTCATGAATTTTGTCATTGTTTCAAAAATCAATATTAGTATTGACTTTTCATTAATTTTTAAAAGATAAACCTCTATTAATAAATGACAATTAACGTTCCTAAAAGTCTTATTCCTTTCTTTGTCAAGAGAGTTTGCTTCTCAATTAATTGTCGACCAAATTTCGTCATAATCCTATTTTAAAAACCATATATAGTTTTTCTACATTTCTTTTCTTTCCGACATAATCAAGGTAAATTTATACGTTAATTATCACGTCATTCTAGATATTGTCACGTCAAAAGATAATATTCAAACTTTTGAAATAATAGATATTTTAAAGAAACAAAGATGAAAGTTTATAGATTTATTTATTTTGGTAATTTGGCCAAAATTCTACAACAAATAATATCAATCTCAACACCTTTTCAAAATCATAATAATAATAAACTTAATATGTGAAAAGAGAGGAACATCACTTCATTTAACGATGTTTGTGCTTCACATGATGACGTTAAAATATCATCATCAAATTGTCATCAAATTTCATATTGCCCTTTTCACGTTTCCAAATAAATAAACTTATCTTTACATACTTCTTATCCTTACACTCTTGAGTCATAGTTTGGCATTTTTAAGAAAATAAAATTAGTGAGTYTATGCTCGCTAGTACGACAACTTATTTTCATAATGTATTGAACTTTCTATTCGAAAAAGTGATTCATAATCGGATTGACTCTAAACTTAACTTAGTTTCTAATATCTTTTTAGTACAACAATTTGAAGATATGAAGATCAAACTTCTGACCTCGAAAAAAGATGTAATTTATAGTATTGACACAACCACTCATTTCTATTGCATTTTTTTAAATTTCAATTGAATTTTCACTGCAAATTTAAATTTCATCCATTTAAATATCATCAAATATATATTTTTTAAGTCTCTATTTTAATATTCATCATTAGACCTTTTATTTTTATTTTTATTTTTTGCAAAAGCATTAGACCTTTCTCTCTCTCTCTCTCTCTCTCTCTCATGTAATAAGGTTTTTAAGCCTAATGATGCTTGATATTATTATTATTATTATTATTATTATTTGGTGTGTTTGTGTGTTTAAGGTGATTTTTAGGATAATATCAGCGCTATACACCCAACCAATCACCAAAAGTATCTTCTACAACTAAAGCCTATCTTCCAATTTTATATCTGTAGTGATAAAATAATAATCAATAATAAATATAAATCAACCAACCACAATTTAAGGCTATTAACTAAATGGCACAAAAAACTTTTTGATTGGTTAAAATATGAGTTATACTYACAAGATGAGCTTAACTTTGATCAAGAAACTATTAGTTTGAATCTCCTATTCCATTCCCACTTGTTATATTAAAAAAACTAAATGATAGAATAAAGGTAAGAATTAGGATTTATAAACAATAATGTGAAAAATGAGGTCAAACAACAAATTAACCGTTTCATCTTTATATCCCACACATTTTTTAAGTTAAATTATTCTATTGAAAACTTTTAAATATTTATTTTAGTATTTAACTTTTCTCACAAATTAACGTGGGTGGGTCGTTGTGATTTTAAAATTTATAATTTCAATCCTTAAACTATTTTAAAAAGAGTTTTTATCTCTACGTTTCTTTTAGAAAATAGATAATGTGATTTAAAGCATGTGCTGAGTAAGATTAAGCCACAAAATTGCTTAAAGACAAGTTTCGGGAACATAAATATTAGGTGAAAAGTTGATAATAACAACTGAGTTTAAAAAAGAAAAGGTTTACAAACTAAGAATCAAAATATATATAATTTTTAAATTAAAACAAACATCATTAAAAATAAAAATAGAATAAACTTACAAAGTTTGGATCAAATTATTTACTTATCTGGTGAATTTTTGTTTTTATATATATATATTTTTAATTTAGTCCCTCTTGTTTAAAAAATTTCAATTTGATTCTTTTTTTTATATAATATTTCTCAATTTTATCTCTCATCATTGATAARTGTTAAATTAACCTRTGGAAAATTTATACACCATAATATTTAATGAATTGACGGAAATTTAGAAAAGAAAGAAAATCATTTAAGAAGAGAAAATTTTCTAATTTTTCCTCAAAATTTTCAARAAATTTGTGAAAGTTTCAAGTTTTCTTATTATAATGACCTTTTTTCTCCTCAAGATTTTTATTAACTCATGGATTATTATGTCAGATAAGTTTATCGATTAATATTGACATTCACTATTAACAAAATAAATTTAAAAAATAGTGAAATATCAACGACTAAGTTGAAACTACTTAACAAATAGGCAACGGGAACAGAGATCAGCGTATTTATGTTCGATAAAGGATCACGAGTTCAAATATGTTATACTAAAGAAAATACTAATTAAAGAAAAGATTACCTAAAAAAATAAGGGTTAATGAAAAAAAATTCATATTTAGGATTGCTTTTATGTGTTTTCTTCCAATAAAAGTAGCGTCTTTTATATAATTTCGGATCACACGTTGGAGCCGTCAAGCGACTGAGGCCTCAAATGTCATTCACATATCGAAACACACAAAAATGCGAGGGGAAAAAAGGGGAACGCCTCGCTCAATTCCCCTCCACAAATTTCAAAAAGGTGTTATCCGAAAACTATTTCTTCTCCAATTCCTTCTTCTTCCCCTCCGTCTAGTTGTTAATCCTCAGGAACTTGAAAAATCATGCTATTAAATCTCTCTTCCACTTCCTTCTCTGTAATCAAATTAGCGAATTCGAAGTCCCCGATCCCAGATTTTTCAGTGAAGTCCAGAACCCACTTCTCAGAATCTTTATCATCATCATCATCTTCTTCTTCTTCTTCTTCTCTATGCCATTCCTTCTCTTCGTCGGATCTCAGTTTCAAGACCAGACACAAAATCTTCTGGGAAAAGAGCAGAATCCCATGTCGGAAGAGTGCCGATTTCAGGCTGTGGGCTTTCGCCGGACTCGACATCGGAAGTGCTCAGTCCGTACTCGAGGCGGCGGCGGTGTTGACAGCCATCATTGTCGTTCACGAGAGCGGTCACTTCCTCGCCGCCTGTCTCCAGGGCATCCATGTAAGTAAATTTGCAATTGGTTTTGGTCCAATTCTTGCAAAATTCAACAAAAACAATGTAGAATACTCCATTAGGGCTTTTCCTCTCGGTGGATTTGTGGGTTTTCCGGATAATGATCCAGAGAGCGATATTCCAGTCGACGACGAAAATTTGCTCAAAAATAGACCGATATTGGATAGAGTTATAGTAATTTCTGCTGGTGTTATCGCCAATATAATCTTCGCATACATAATTATCTTAATTCAAGTCTCATCCGTCGGTTTGCCGGTCCAAGAGCCCTTCCCCGGCGTGCTCGTGCCGGAGGTTCGAACTCTTTCGGCCGCTTCCCGCGATGGCCTACTTCCGGGCGATGTGATTCTGGCCGTTAATGGAAATGAGCTGCCAAAACTGGGTTCTACAGCAGTTTCTGAACTTGTTGATGCAATTAAAAACAGCCCCAAAAGAACTGTGCTTCTCAAGGTTGAAAGAGGGAAACAGGATATTGAAATTGGGGTCATCCCAGATGAGAGTTTTGATGGAACAGGAAGAATTGGGGTTCAGCTTTCACCTAATGTGAAGATTTCTAAGGTTGTGGCAAGGAATTTGTTGGAGGCTTTTAACTATTCTAGAACGGAATTTTTGGGTCTGTCATATAATGTTTTGGATAGCTTGAAACAGACTTTTCTAAATTTCTCTCAGTCAGCCAGTAAGGTTTCTGGTCCTGTGGCTATTATCGCTGTTGGTGCAGAAGTTGCAAGGTCCAACATTGATGGGCTCTATCAATTTGCAGCTGTGCTTAATATTAACCTTGCTGTTATAAACCTTCTGCCTTTACCTGCTTTGGACGGTGGTTCGTTGGCTTTGATCCTCATTGAGGCTGCAAGGGGAGGGAGGAAGCTGCCTCTAGAACTCGAGCAGCGAATCATGTCGTCTGGGATCATGCTCGTCGTACTTCTCGGGCTATTCCTCATCGTCCGGGACACGTTAAACCTTGATTTTATAAAGGACTTGTTATAGTATGGGGATGCTCGGCGAAAGGTTACTGTTGGTGTATTAGATTCAGGGCAAGTAAACTCTGTTAAATCTGTAAATTGCTTGACTTGTTGATGATTCTAGTGTTGGGGTTGTGATTTTAGAGCTCATAATGCTTTCAACTTTCATGTTGCTGGATTCAACTGTGAGAGTGAGAGATAAATGGAATCCTATTCTTATCAGTTTTGTACTCCCTTCAAATTAACAAGTCAAATATACAAAACAGCTTGTTTTTGTGTATCTTTCATGTTGCTTGAATTCTTGTCCCTCTGTTGTAGGTAGAAATAACCGACTTTCGTACTAACTTCTGCGAGCTGAATCAGTGATGGCATTTGTATRAGTGAGCCGAGTTGGGCTTCAATTGATCCATTCTGTATGAATAAATGAATGGTTAAAKGTATTTTACTCCTTCTCCAAGAGTAAAAAAATATAATAAAAATGACATGTCAAAATATTTTACAATTGAAGAAGTTACGGAATTTTCAAACGTATCTACTTTAACAACATACTAGATTTTGCGATTGTTACCTACTATTTCAATTTCTTTGTTGCTCCAACAAATTTCCTTTAATTACTTTAAATGTTGTATTATAATATTTCTTAGATAAGAGTACAAAGAATTGGGTGTTAAAATCGTCATTAATAGAGGTAAAATCCTAAAACATATGTTGTCATTTTGACCTACATTGATGTCATTGGGAGACATTGGTTGCGTTGGGTAAACAAATTGGATTTATCTCATGATTTCTTAAATAAATTAATTACTACCGAAGTCCAAGTCCAACTACTAACTTTTTAACCAACCCCGTTTCTTCTTTATTTATTTATCATTTAGGTCTTTTTAATTTTTCAGCTTTAAGAAATAAAAATCGTACGTGTATGGTAATTATTTTTTGTTGTATGTTTTTTTAAAAAATTAGAGTTGAAACCAAAACGAGCACAGAATTAGTGGTTATTGGCATATATCTCCAATTGTGAGTTCGAACCTCAACTCATCACATGTTGTACTAAAAAAAATTAGAGTTGAAAAATATGCTACTAAAAGAAAAATCTATATAATTCATTTTAAAAATATTTAATATTTTTATACATAATTTAGTAAGGGGATGCATTCATCGTCCCCTTCTTCATTTTCATCCCAACTCCGATCCCGTAGAGAATTTGGTCATTTCCTAATATTTTAGATAACAGTTTAGAAAGATAGAAAGAGAGAGGTTAGAGATAAAAAGTGGGGTGTAATTCTAAATTTCAACCTTTTGATTGATTATATATATCTTTTATTCATCCACTTAATAAAAGTAAAAGGTTTAAAAAGGTGGATTGGAAATTTTATTAAAAACTTAATAGAAAATTATTATCAAACATTAAAATATTATTTCTTACAAAATTTAGAGAATAAAATAAAATTATACAAAACCAACGTATTAAAATAGGATATTTGAAAGTTGAAGGAGGAGGTGAAGATTATAAACGAAGATAATTAAAAAATTTTAATAGTTGCATGTATTAAAAATTACTTAAATAAAATCCAACAAGCAAACAAAAGAGTCATACCAAGCCGATCGGTTTAGAATCTTTAGATCGATTCAACACTCCTTTACCAAATTTTGGTTGTTTATAAAATAAACTTGTAGATGTCAACAATCCACTCATTCCAGGACGGCGATGGAGAACAGTCAACGCCTCTGCTCCAAAAGTCCTCCTAATCAACGGCTGTAATTTGGTCACTTACTTCATTTTCCCCAAACATGGGTCCCACATGATTCAGTTTCATTTCTTTGCCATCACGTATATAAAATCCATTTTGGTCTCTATCTCATCGGCTCTCTCCCCCAACTTCCAGCCATTTCTCCAACTCCATTGTSAGACCACAATGAAGAGGGAATAAACATCAACTCARTTCCTGGGAAGAAGAACCTAATTTCCACGGCTTTAGCATATTTTGTCTTCTTCTAGCGGGTTCTCAACCGGTACTCGAAATTCTAYGATGAGTTTAGCGAGTGCTATGGCGTTGGGGGATGTCGCGTCTCAGATGTGCTGGTGGAGTCTGGGGCCGAAGCCGTCTCCTGCGGCGGTGTTGAAGGGGAATGAAGGTACGGAGAGGACGCTGAAGCTGGAATCTAGAGGAGGATTTTTAAATTTGCCGACTTCCCCATTGATGACTTGCTCCATCGAGGCTGAGGAGCCGTCGAATCGGACCGAGTTACAGCCGGTTAACGATCAGTTGGACGGCAATCTCGTCCGGAGGTTGAATAAGGATATCGGCTCCTTTGCAAGTAAGTTTTGCGATTCGGCAGATTATTTGAATCAAAGTGTGGAATATGTTTCCTAGTGAATTGATGAATGCTGTGGTTTGATATTGTATTGAACGTTGCTAGTTGGTTGTTTGTTTCTCTGCACTTCTTGAGTTAACTTTCAGGGGAGAAGGTTTTTATCATCAATAGGTGGCATACAAGTATCCTGGCTCTTATTCTATCAACGTGCACATAAGAAAGTACTTCTAGAAAAATAATTTGAAACTGTAATAAAATTTTATGGAATCAACCATTTCTTAGTGGAATTTCGATGCATTAATTTARAGATAGGGTACAAGTTTAAATGAAGGCCAACTAGGAGATCTTGGTTGACATGATTGGGCAGGGGCTCGCCAGAATCCAAACAAAGGGATTTAAAGACTTGTTTGGGGGCTGTTTGGACAAGTTTCGGTTTCAAAAAATTGAGAGGAAACATGTTTAGTTAATTGTTTCTTAACTGTGGTTACGGGAAAATGTCCTTGTTGTTCTAAATTCAGTCGTTAATAAATTCTTCAAGTTCAGATAAACTTCAGTGCACATGTTGAGGAACAGCAAGTTTTTGCTCCCACTCAGTTTCTTCAAGTTAGTGTTCCCAATTTCTGCCCCCTTATTATTGGTCTTTTCGTTTTAACCTGTTATGTTTCCCTCATACTTTGTTTAAAAATATTATTTTCTAAATTGCACTATGGGCATCTTCAATAAAAACAAAATTTTAAACTGGCTAGACTTTGGACGACATTTCCTTCATCTCTTAGTCTTAATGCATTTTATGTAAGTGGTTGCAGGACCATTATCAGTGTCAAATACTTCTGCTTATCCAGATGATGGTCGGAAGGTTCGAATATCGTTCAAGGTACGATTTATAATAATGAGCCGATGCCTTTTCTCTTCTTTTTACTTGACTTTTGACCTTTTTTTAACAAGTAATTTTAATCTATATTTAGTAAATTTTATCTGCTTTTCTCATTTGTTGAGTAAATGATGCAGGGGTTGCCAGGATCATACAGTGAGGATGCAGCACTTAAAGCGGACCCTAATTGCAAAAGTGTTCCTTGCGATGAGTTTGAAGATGCATTTAAGGTTTACATTTCATTTTATTTACAATCTATCAGCTAAAATATATAAAAAGAATTAGAACTGCTTTCCTTGGTGTGTATTATTTAACCTATTTCATTTTTAAAGATGATATGTAATTATAAGAAAAAATTCGCCCACATTATTCTTTTCAACTTTACTTGCTTTAAATCCACTTCACTCAAGTCCTCCATTATTACTTTGTCGCGATTTTCCTTTTTCGTTGTAGGCTGTTGAATTATGGATAGCTGATAAGGCTGTTCTTCCGATTGAGAATTCATCAGGTGGGAGCATTCATCGCAACTACGATTTGCTCCTTCGACATAGGCTACATATTGTTGGTGAAGTGCAGTTAGCCACCAATCTGTGCCTTCTAGCTCTGCCGGATGTGAGAGCAGAACAGCTGAAACGTGTTCTTAGCCATCCGCAGGTTAAGCTTCGACTTCCATCCTTGTCTTTTCTTTTTTTAACTGTGGTCTCGCATCAAGTGACAAATATTTGTTCAATTCAAGTGGTAGTAATTGTAATAGCTAAAATGGTAATCCCCCAGACTTTGATGGACAATGTCTTGATTCTCTCTTAGACATTCACGATGCATGAACATGAACGTATAATGTTGAGTCTGCACCCTCCATCATAGAAGTTACTCTTACTGTCTGTTGCATTGCATCTTCTTCATGAACTTGGGTTGTATTTTACAATTGAAGTGAGTTTTCGGAAGTAAAAAGTACTGACATGTCACTACTAAAAAAATCAATGACCTTCAAGTGTTGCGTGGGCAGGCACTTGCCTTGAGTGATACTGCCTTGAATAGGTTGGATGTTGTCAGAGAAAGTGTTGATGATACAGCTGGTGCTGCTCAGGTTCTTATATGTTAATTTATATTCTTATTATTAAAGTTCCCCAACCATTTGTATCGGTTTATTTTCAAAAGCAAGTTATTCATCTCGATTTGTTATGTAGTATGTAGCATTGAACAACCTCAGGGACACAGGAGTTGTTGCTGGTGCTCGAGCTGCAGAAATATATGGTCTAAACATTCTGGCAGAAGGGATCCAGGTGAACTTTTTCTCTTGTTCTAATTTAATTTTGTTCTCGTTCCGTCTTAAAATATGGTTTATATATTTGGTCACCTCTTTGCTTAAGAAAAATTATACTGCTTAGTTTCTATCTTTACATAGGATGATTCAGACAACATGACTCGTTACCTGGTACTTGCGAGGGAACCGATCATTCCGAGAAATGATAGGCCCTATAAAGTAAGTTGAATCGCATATGTGCTGATTACTAGCCTCATATCTGCTGAACTTGTAGCTTTAATAAACTTGAAGTCAAATGTTCTGTTCGTTTTAGACAAGCATCGTATTTACCTTGGATGAAGGGCCTGGTGTCTTGTTCAAAGCCTTGGCGTTGTTTGCATTAAGAGAGATAAACTTGACAAAGGTACTTTGATGCAACCAATCTGTTGATAAAATTCTATCTTTTCTCAAAAAGCATTTTTGCCACTACCCTTTGTCTCTGAACTTATGTGAGAATTCTACTTACATGACTAGATTGAAAGTCGACCGCAAAGAAATCACCCCTTACGAGTAGTCGATGACTCGAACACGGGTACTGCCAAGTATGTACCATCATCATCTGCATCTTGCAGTATCAGCAGACCTTGAAAGGCCTTCGCTATAGCTATTACAATGCAAGTTGCTTCAAATGGCTGGTGGTATAGATTGATGAATCCTCTCTCAACGTTTAATGTTTGCAGGTACTTTGACTACATGTTTTACATTGATTTTGAAGCTTCTATGGCTGAAGCACGTGCGCAGAGTGCCTTGGGCCATTTGCAGGTTTGTTGCTGATTTTGTTAAAGATTTTCTTAGTTGAACGTTAGAGAGAATATAAAATTCAAATATATGTTAACCAATCAACTTATGATGATCAGTCACAGTATTAAAGCATGAGATCAAATCCACAAATCTGCCTTCATGAATCAAATTAGTAACCAAGCCCACATGAAAGAGGTGTTAATTAAGTATATAATAAAAAAAATTAACTGTGGCTTATTCTTTTTGGTTTATGCATTTTTGTCTAACGAAAATTTAACATTAATATTATATTTGCATGTCATGTCGAGGCTTCTCTTTTAACGTYGTGTATTTACATTACATAATCAATGTGCCATGTTCTTTCACTTCCAAGTTCTTAATGAAATCCTTTTGTGTTCCTTGTAGGAATATGCAACGTTTATTCGGGTACTTGGCTGCTATCCCATGGGTGTATCTCGTTAGCATTAAGAACAACCTTGTTCTTCAAATTCAGACCATCCCTTGACAGAGTAGTTTGTTCCAAAATTGGCATATTTTTCAATGAAGGTCAAAAGGGTCATTTCTTACCAACTAGCAGGTGATATGACCTAGATAATAATAAACAATATTTTTGTAAAGTTTAAACCAGGTGGGTGGAAATTGAACCTCATCTTAAGCAGCCAGGTTTAAAATGTCTCRGAGCTATTTTTAAATTGACAATAATAGTAACATTAATAGTAATAATATGTTTTTTAAACCTAGTGCATTTTAAGGAAACAATATTTCTCATTTAATTTATAACTTTATTATATGTTTTAATTAATTATTGTACTTTTTAAAATACAATTATGGAGATGGAATGGAAATTCGAATGGTTGAGTTATGCCATTTTAATTAGTTGAATTAGTTTAGATTTCAAGTTTAAAAGTTATGATGTGATTTGTGAAATAAAAAAACTTACATTTTGCATCCCTAAAAAATCTAAAAATAAGTGAAGATATATTCATGTAAAATAAAATAAATTATCAATAATATAAATAAAAAAGAAATAATAAATTGCAAAACAATTAATTAAAAAGTTATCGATCTTCTTAATAGATCAATTTTAATACTCAATTATGTTGAAGAAAAACAAACCTTAGTCTCYATTATTTTAAAATTTTTATTTTATTATTTAACATATTGTTGTAAAATTATAGAACAAAATGAGGTACCACGAGTCACGAACAACGAGAAAATACGAGATTAAAAGTTTAGCATTTATTTTCTACCACAATTCACTGTCAAATGAGTCATGGATTGCAATTGTACAATTGGACAAGAAAAAAGATACATCAGATATTGAGAAAGATACATCAGATATTGAGAATTATTGAGAGGTGTATGGAGAGGAATTGACACATGAGGTTATGTTACATCTTTCTATTTTACCGCTAATACATCTAATTTGGATAATCTTCATAATACATATTAACTTTTTTTTTTCAATTATCTTTTTATTGAATCACACTATATATTGAGTCAATAATTATAGACGTAGGAATCATGATATTTGAAATGGTAATATATACCWTTATCTACTTCAACTGACCACTGACCATTAAATCATATATTTGGCCCGACTAAAAATATACAAACTTAAAAAATCACAAGAGAATTATAATTTTATTTAACCCAAATTTTAATGTCCATCCATGTTGCGATCTCTAATTAAGGAACAAGTGCCAAAGCAAAGCACTACAGCTCAACACCGCCACGTGAACCAACCCAACAACATTCCCTTTGGAACTACGCTATTGCGGCCGTACCCAAGCCGCGACCAGGTTCACTGAACCTCCGAACCCCACTCCCTCTCTACTCTTTATTTAAGCCCTCCACAGAACAGAATTCGCCTGCTCAGATCGCAAAATCAGTAACCATTTCCGATCGCAGCTGCCGCTGGCCTCTGCACAATGTGAATGGGGTACTTCTACTTTCATCTTCTCTTTACTTCATTGTTTACTGTCCACGAATCTGAAAATGCAAGTCATCTATTTCATAATCTTACTGATAGTTATTCCATTTCTTTTTATTTGAATGCTGAAATCCCCGCAGTACTGYTTGCATCCAGTTTTTAGCTTCGAATTTAAGCAGATCACGAGGGTTTGCATCCAGGGTTTGAAGTTGGGGATCATCCAAGGACATTTAGCTTTCTCTGTAGACTTCCAAACAAAATAGTTGGCTTTCATTGAGTCTGACCTTCCTATAAAAATACATATAATACTCTGTTTTTTTAGGGCAAATTAAAAGCATATGATCATGAATATCCCTTTGACGCAATTGCCCCACTAGTTACTTTATACAAGTTCCACCACTTGTCCACTATAAATAATATCTTCAGTTTCAAACCTTTGTGGACTCTGGACTCAGAGGTTTGTTGGGATGATCTCTGATATTTGCCTGTTCTTTCTCCGTTCAACATGTTTGTTTGTTTTTTTTTTTCTTCCTTTTTTTACACTTCTTTTTGCTGCTTGGAAATTACTTGGTTAATTACAGCATCAAATTCTGTACCCAGATGATTTCATTCAAGTCTTATCATTTGGTTCTGGTCTGATGGTTCTTGCTTTCTTGTTTCTGTTTTATTCACGTAAGATTTCTGTCAAGCACACCAACGGAATTTTAAGAGCAAAGGTTTAAAATGAATTTCTGTACAGAATCTGAGGATTAGAACAGAAGAATCGAAGTTCTGAAATCAAAACAGAAGTAAATAATTAAATTTACTCTAAATAATTGCTTRTACATTGGGCTAATGACTGTTATTGGATGCTCAACTGCAGGTAGAGTAGTCGGCATGAACAATTCTTCCTTTGATAAAAATGGTATCAAGAATGATGCCAATTATTAATTATCTGTTTAGGACAACCAGCATTTCTTTAGATTCTGACTGCTGAGATAGAAGAGCTCGGAAAATTTGTAGATATTTGCACCATTTCTCGTAGCCATTCACCTGCTTTCAGATTTATGCTCCTCTAGGATAAAAGCTATTTGCAAACCTGGCCTTGTCGGGGCGATGACGTGGAGAGAGCGACTTCGGTGGCAGCCACCATTCACGGTCGCCTGGTCCGATCTGGTCGGCTGTTGTTTCTCCTTTTGCAGGAATGTGATTGAACAGCATAGCAGATAGAACATTTTGCTGTGCTTGGGATTTGAAGAGTTCCCCCTCTTGAAACTTCAATGTCATCGTTTTTTTGTTTTGTTTTTATAAGTGATTATGTACTCCTGTTTTCGTTGCATTGTATGAATTTCAGTAAAACTTCTGTTCTTGCTGATTATTTGTGAGAGTTGCTTTCGGCCTTAGGTATAAGGTAATTAGATGAAATAAAAGTGATTTGGATTAGGAAAGGAAACCATATTCTCTATTTAATTCAGAACTTTATTACATGTTTTAATTAATTATTGTACTGCATTAAAATACAATTATAGAGATGAAACGAAAATTCAAAGAAATTGCATGAGAAGATTGGATTTGGTTAAATCGAAGATTCTCCGATTCGAACTCATGGCTTATTGATTAGAAAGGTGTGTCAATTACTCTTGAGTTAAATTCGGTTACCATTTATTACATCTTTTCATTATTGTAGTTTTTCATTAATAATTATTATATTATGGAGATGAAAATTATAAATTTTGAGTGATGGTTAACTTATGCTTGAATTTGTTTAGATTTCTAAGTCTGAAGGGTATAATGTGATTTGTCAATATTAAAATTTTAAACGACAGGGAGACGAGCTCTAAAATAAATCAACAACAAATAATTGATTCAAATATAAAATATAAAATATCTGACGTAAAACAAATGATTTTTCTTTTTCCTTTTGAAATGAGTCAGCGAAACAATTATTTTTATTGAAAGTATAAATATTAAATATAAAAACAACGAAGGGCCGAAATAAGGAAATTACGACGGTAGCTTCTTGGGGAAGTTTTAGCCGTCTTCTGGGAATGAACGTGAAACGCAGCGTTTCGTGCCCACCTCTAACTCATAACGTGGAATTTCGCGCCCGCGCTACCACAGTAATTACCTTACCACCACTCCCTTTCCCGCCGATCCTAATTCCTCATTGAACTTGTCTTCAACATATCGCTATCCCCTGTCCATATCTTCGCTTCAGTAGTTGCTTCCGCTGCCCCTCGCTTCTCAGTTTTCACTGTGGGTTCCTGTCACTTCTACTTCTACTTCTTCTTCTTCCCGCTGCTCAAGCGTTCGCTATTCACTGAGGAGGAGGAGAGAAAGAGGAGAAAATCGCAGCCTTCCGTTGTACCGATGAAGCTTCGTCCTCGTAAAACGACCTCCAACATTGTCACCGAAGGTACGGCTCCGATTTTGCGCTTTCTTTATGTGTCGCATGCTGTGCACTGCTAGAGAATTCTGTTTCTTGAAAACCTAATGTGCAATAAAGCATTGACCTGACTGTAACATGATTGCGGCATGATTGGATTTGAGATTGCATTCGTGGTGTTTTTTGAAAAACATTTGTTGAGATGATATGAATATCCCCAACTGGAAATAAATGCATTGTGTGTTCTTTTTGCCCCTTTTCTTGGAAAGATTGACACACTGTGAACTAACTACGTGATTACATTTGGGAGCAGAAAAAGAAGACAGCAAAGACGACAGTGATGCCTTTGATGATATCGACGAGTCATCTTTTGTTTCTGAGAGTGGTAGTGAAGGTATCATAGTTTCACATTTTATGTATTTTGGTTACAGTAGTTCCGGTAAGAAACCAAGTTCGAAGTTGGATCAGTTCTGGTGTTAAAACTTTTTTATAAGTTTTATCTCTCTCGTTTCTTGGAGTATGTGCATGTTTGGTAAATTAAGTGAACCTGAACCTTTCCATCGAATAATCTCTTCAACGATCTACTTTCCTTCACAATAGTTGCGCCTGCAATGCCTTCCTTTGGTGTTAAACTGTTACTTATTTACCTGACTTTTAATATCATTATGAATGAAGAATATACTCGGAAATGGTTTTGGAACCTAAACCACAAGTTTGACATTTTAACTGGGCAGATCTTTCCTCGAGTTCTGCGGACTTTAGTGAGCCTTCAGCAAAGAAGAAATTTAGAGGAAACAAACAGAGTAAACCTCTTAAAAAGGAGGTGCCTACCCTTTTGTGGAATATATGGGCGGAAGAATATGAGAAATGGATTGATGAAAATATTGAAAAAGATTTTGATTTGGATAATCAAAATGAATTATTGATGGAAGTTGTTGAAACACCTTCTGCACTCACAATGCCCCTTCTACGATACCAGAAAGAGTGGTTGGCTTGGGCTTTGAAGCAGGAAGATTCTTCAAATAAAGGTGGGATACTTGCAGATGAAATGGGAATGGGAAAAACCATCCAAGCAATTGCCTTGGTACTTGCCAAACGTGAATTCTCTACATCTAATGGACAAATGAGACCCTCATCACATCCGAGTTCTTCCAAGGACTTGCCTGAGATCAAAACAACTCTTGTAATATGTCCTGTGGTTGCTGTTAGCCAGTGGGTAAGTGAGATTGATCGTTTCACATCAAAGGGAAGTTGCAAGGTACTGGTGTATCATGGTCCAAAACGAGTACAGAGTCTTGAAACTTTCTCAGAATATGATTTTGTTATTACAACATACTCTGTCGTTGAGGCTGATTACAGGAAATATCTGATGCCTCCCAAGGACAGGTGCCCTTACTGTAATAAACAATTTTATCAGAAGAAACTGAAGTTTCACTTGATGTACACATGTGGTCCTCTTTCTTTAAAGACAGAGAAGCAAGCTAAGCAACAAAAGAAAAAGCCAATTCAACCACAAATATCGATACAGGAAGAATCTACTAAAGACAAAATCAATAGTGATCACCGGAGTGACAGCCGGAAAATTACTTTTGAACAGACAGTGGGGCAGAATGAGAATGATAAGAAACCTTGTGGGAAATCAATATTGCATTCTGTGAAATGGGATCGCATTATTTTGGATGAGGTGAGATTCTAAAACTATCTATTTTTATTTTTGTTCAGTTTAGTCTAGTTTTTGTTTTCCTCTTGTGTGTGTGTTTGGGAATATTACAATTGTTTTCATTTTTTTTAATTATAAATGAAAAGGGGAAAGTACTCTGGTTTTATTGTTGCCTTAAAATTGGTTTCATATTTGCGAATTGTATCACTCCTTTTAAAATGATGGAATTTAAATTGTTAATTTAGATAGTGAAGTAGAAAATAGAATGCATAGGTAATGGGCAACTGCTATTCTATTGCTATGCCTTCCAATACACCATCTAACTTTAGCTATGATGATCTCTCACTGTTTCCTCAAACCATCTGTATCTATTTTGCCCCTTTCTTCTCCCTTTGAGTGTACATATATTTTGCTACAACTATTGAAAATTCCATCCAATTATTATTCTCATATTTTTGCTACATGTTTACCACATCTTTGACATCCAGAAGTAATTTTCTATGGGAACAAATTCTATAGTGGGTAATAATAAGGGAAAAGTAAACCAATATATAAGTTGCTTAATCTATTTATCTCCCCCACCCCTTAAAAATGTTCTTTTGTTTGTTTCATCTGTCCTGAGAAAATAATTATATTGTTTGACCTTTTGCATTAATTATTATTTCTATTAGTATTTTAATGGATGTTTGCTGTTGTGAAATATAACAAATTTTGTATAAATATGTAGGCACATTTTATAAAAGATAGACTGTCCAATACTGCAAAAGCTGTTTTTGCGATTTCTTCTTCATATAGATGGGCTTTAAGTGGCACACCTATTCAAAATCGCATAGGAGAGCTTTACTCTCTTGTAAGTTTTGTTTTGTTTATAATATTGTCTACAACAAGAAAAATAATCTTTCTCAATTTAACCTGTATTTTTTGGTACTCTCAGGTTCGCTTTTTGCAAATTGTCCCTTATTCGTTCTACTTTTGTAAGGACTGTGATTGTAGAACACTTGACTATAGGTACTAGTTTGGATTAAAGATTGTTCTGCCTTTACGTAGTAAATTTTAATTTTAACATTTTATAAGCTTTTTATTACTCGTGGACTCATTAGTTGTTGTATATAAAATTCATGTGACGTATGACGTTCATGGGCAACTACAGTTCTCTTGACTGCTCTAATTGCCCTCATAAACGCGTGAGACATTTTTGCTGGTGGAACAAAGTAAGTTCTATAACTTATAGCATTTATATTTACGTTTATCTATGTAACACTAATAGACTATGTTTTTCTTTTAATTATTATGGTCTGGAAGTACATTACCCAACGGATTCAAAATATTGGTGGGACTGGCCAAGATTTAAAAAGAGGTATGATATTGCTGAAACACAAAATTTTAAGTAGCATTGTTCTCCGGCGCACCAAAAAGGGTAGAGCTGCTGATCTTGCTCTTCCTCCTAGTATTGTAAGTGGTCGTGCATATGGTTAAGTTTTTTAGTTTTAGTAATTGATGGAGAAACTAATTTTAGTTCCTGTCGATCTTCCTGTAGGTTTCAATTAGGCGGGATTCCCTAGACATTCAAGAAGAAGACTTTTATGAGTCGTTGTATAATGACAGTCTAGCAAAATTTAATACGTAAGTGACCATCTATTATCTTTTGCTTTGCTTTTTGAGCCTGTTTGTTGAAGTATCTTTGAACCATACCTAGATAGAAATCTCTTCACTGGATATGTTGGCAGCTGCATGTGATGAAAGTAATTAAATAGTGGAGAATAATTTGGAATTTAAATTTATAGGCAAGAGTACAGAAAATGATTACTTTTTGTAGTTGAGACCATTGTCCAAGTTTCAGCCACCACTCTATCTTTCGCTTAGTTTAAAATTTTAATGTTGAAGCTGAGACCTTTTGTAAGTTCAAGACACTTAGTATTCGGTAGTGTTATTGTACTACTTTTAACTTCTTTTTAATATTTATTTTCCTAACTGAATGCATCACTAAAAATGTAGGTTATTCATCAAGTTATAACTTAAAATCAGTTTTACCGAGCACAGATTTGTTAAACTTATTGAGTGCGCACTTACACAAGGATTTGACATGAAATAGTAGCTATTGGTACTTTTGAGATGCCATTTTCCAACTTAATGAATGTCAAAGAATGTTTTTGGTCAGATCTGCAACTTGATTGTTTTTGTAGTATAGAAGTTCTTTCCAATCTCATTTTTCAAAAGATTATGTATTTTACCAATACTCAGCCTGTCAGCCATTGTGAAATTGCAAACAATGAAGATGTTTATTTCCTTCTATAAAATAGATGTCTTGCAATATTGCTTGATGTTTCTTTTTCTTTGTAGTTTCGTGGCAGCTGGAACGGCAACAAATAATTATGCACACATATTTGACCTTTTGATTCGCTTGAGACAGGTCTGTGTCTTCTGGTATAGATTTTGAAATTTATGTCGATCATTAGCCTTTAAAGGAAAGTATCAAGTAAACTTGCCATGCTCGGTAATGTGAATAGCACTGCTTAGATGATCCTGACTCGAAATATTGTCTTTATATGTTAAGGTTTGAGGTAAACTTATTGTGATACTATACTTTGCTTTATGACTTTTAGATTCTGAAATTTGTTTATTTTTTAGGCCATGCTTACTTTTGTAGTACTCCTGATGCTTAGATAAAGTTCTTAATGATAACTTCAGTTCTAGTTGATTTTTGTTTGCCTATTTGCTTTAAGCATTAGATTTTGCATGGTTGATTGCTGGAAAAAATAAAAGACTTTGTAGGTTAGTATGTAAATTAGGCTGGAGAATGTCTATTGTCCGGCCAGAACCAATTTAAGTGAATTTTATTGATGAAATTTGTTGGGGATACGAATAGAGTCCTACATCAGTTAGAAGTGGAAAAGATTTTGGTATCTAAATAAGGACAACATCTTTGCTGCTGAGAGTATTTTTAAGTAGAATCAAGTCAAAAAATAAAATCATGCCAGCTGAGATTCGAATGTAGACAATATCATATAATGGAGATGTCAATCCTAACAAAACTCAATTAAGATTTATTTCATTCCTAATTTAAGTAGATGTGTTTTACCATGTTCACCCCAAACTAACTAAAACTTCTTTATTAAAAAGGTTGCTTTTGATGGAAATGAAAGATTCAAAAGATGTATCTGTCAGATGCTTAACTTATCATTTGATATTTTTTGCCTTTCAGTTCCTCTGTATTTATTATAATGGATATTTAAGGAGTTTGTATTCATTTATTAATTTTGTTCTAGTGATTTTAGCCTTTTATGCTACACGCTCTAAATGTATCCAATAGCTGATCTGCTAATGATATTTATTTACTCCATTTTATCCAAATTTTACAGGCAGTCAATCATCCATATCTTGTGGTGTACTCTAAAACTTCCGCCATAAATTGTGGAAGCTCTACTGACAATAATAATGAACAAGTATGTGGAATTTGTCATGAACCAGCAGAAAATCCCGTGGTGAGCTTTTTTTTTTCTCTTTTGACAAGAATCCTTTGGGGAATTCTCCTGTTACGCTGTTTGTCATGGCAGTGAAATTTTGTGAGAATGCTGCTGAAAATGAACATCTTGTATTTGAATGATCAATATTTACTAAGGATGTGTTTAGGAGTGATGGTAAAATGGGTGATTTTGAAAAAATAGATTTAAGTATGATTAAAATCAATCATCTAAGCGATACCTTAAAAATCAATTTAAAATGACTTTAAATTTTCCTAAAATTGATTTTTTAATTTGCCAAATATGATCCATGAAAAGGGAAAGAAGTGATTTTGATGATGGAAAAGTCACTCCCAAACACACCTAAACTGAACTTGTAGCTGGAATGACTGATGTTAGTTCATTTTTTAAAAGCAAATTAGTTAGAATAAATACCTCAATTATACTTGAAATAACTAAGGTGTTGAGATGAACTCTCTAAAAATTAATATCGATGTGCTATCATTTAACAGAAATATCATCACAGGAGGAAATGATGATTAATGAATATGTTATAATCTAATATCATGACTATTGCTTTAGTTCATTTATGAATGCACATCTTTGAAGTAGTTTACTGCCTTTTTCACTTAATTACCTACCTCTTTAGTTGAAGTGGAAATGACCCAGTAATTTACTTCCTCAACTTGAAACAATTTTTTCAGCATGCACAATCTTTTCTAACCTTTTCCCTTATTCTATCAGGTTACCTCGTGCGAGCATACATTTTGTAAGGCGTGCATAATTGATTCTACCGATGATTTTTCAAAGCGTGTTTCGTGTCCTTCTTGCTCAAAGATGCTCACTGTTGACTTTAGCAAAACTCTGGCTGCTGGGGATCAACCCGTTAAAACCAGAGTTAAGGGTTTTAAATCTTCAAGCATACTGAACAGAATACAGCTGCAGAATTTTCAGACGAGTACAAAAATAGAAGCTTTGGTACGTTTTATTCTGACTCCCCCATATTTGTTTAATCTTTGGATGTGAATGAAGAAAACGTCATGTTGGCCTCTAGGTTATGTTGTTTTATTTTATTTTTTTGTAACATTTTGCGTGGATAAGCCTGCTAAACTCTCTATTATACATGAGAATTTGCACTATGATTTTTTATCTCCCAAATGGAGCAAATATTATGGATGCTCTTTATCTGTTACTAAAGTGGATTTGATAAACTTGACCTCTTTTTTCATTTTTTTTTCCTTTCCTCCCTGCTTCAGAGAGAAGAAATTAGACTCATGCTTGAACGAGATGGATCTGCCAAAGGAATTGTTTTTAGCCAATTCACGTCATTTTTAGATCTCATAAACTATTCCCTAACAAAGGTATGTAGAAGTCCAAATTTAGAGTCTTCTGATTTCTCATAAAATAAGTGATTGTATGTTGTGCAACGAACTCTTTGCAGTCTGGCATTGCTTGTGTTCAGTTAATAGGAAGCATGTCCTTGGCTCAAAGAGCTGATGTCATCAAGAGGTTTGTTGACGATTCAGATTGCAAAATTTTTCTAATGAGCTTGAAAGCTGGAGGGGTTGCTCTCAATCTTACCGTCGCATCGCATGTAAGGAATTTCTTCGATTGGTTACGGTATTAAATATGCAAACACCCTCAATTATGTTTTATACAGGTACAGTGCAGTTATATAATAAGTGTAAATATAATTTCATTCACTTTCAGGTCTTTATCATGGACCCTTGGTGGAATCCAGCTGTGGAACGACAAGCTCAAGACAGAATCCATCGAATTGGGCAATATAAACCTATAAGGTATTGCATTTTGATAAAAATTTAGCATTTTCCTCTGTTGCCGGAAAAAGAATTGCTTCTTATTCTTTTAAGACAGGACTAATATATGTTGGCATTAACAGAATTACCAGATTCGTAATTGAAAACTCTATCGAGGAGCGGATTTTGAAGCTGCAAGAGAGGAAAGAACTGGTATTTGAAGGGTATGTTAGAATAGGTTTAATATGTAGTGTACCATAGTTTATCCACACTGTGAGAAGCCATTGGATGTTGCAAAAATGATTTACTGGCTCTCTCTTTACAGAACTGTAGGTGGGTCTGATGAGGCCTTGGGAAAATTAACGTTGGAGGACATGAGGTTTCTGTTTCTCTGACCAAAAGCTAAGATCATCAAAACTAATACCCGCAAGAGGACAAACCTAAGGTTATGTTCTTGTACATACATATGCACATATTCTCCATCTAATTCTTAAATTTTGAATCATGTAATACTTCTTCTGATCATATGGTTTTTGAGGGGCAAGTCCCATTTTGATTACAGGACTAAGGTCCAAGAAAGGAAAAAGAATTAAAAGGGTAGAAGCTGTATATTCCAAAGTCTGTATATTCATATAACAGAGATACTATTGAAATTTTATTATCACCTAAACTTTCTTATTTCATTATGATTCATTCACTTCCAGATGTTTTATTTAATATTAGATCAGTTAGTTTGTTTCTATGTTGCTGCCACAAAAAACCAGATGGAACAACCGAAAGAAACGAATAGATCATTTAACGAACAGGTACAATTTCAGCATTGTTGTAAATTTTAGCAAATCGAAACTTTCCAAAACAGAAATTCCAGACTTCTTGGATCTCAGCAACACCAAACTCGTTTAATCCTAAACTTCATGTAAAAATTCAAACAACCTGTGGAGCAAGTAGGATCAAATGAGTGGAAGGAGAGTGTTTTTCTTCTTTCTTTTTTTAATTTTTAATATATAATTTAGAAAGGAGAGAGCAACCGTGCGAATTTTATTTTTTAGTTTTACTTATTTATAAGAGAAAAATAAAAAAATAAATACAAAATTTTTAAAATAACGAGCTGTAATTTTTCGATAAATATTTGATAATTAAAATAGTTATTATTTCATATCATAAGCTCTCACTTAGGAATACCTAAATATTTTTCTTCTAAATATCCTCTAGTTGAATAAATTAAAAAAAAAAAGGTTAAATTAGGATACTAAGAGCAAACACGAGAGGTCGGATATTTCAATATTCCCTTGTACATTTTTTGAACTAAATCAAAACAGTGTTCTTTATTTGAAAACAAAAAATATTTTTAATTTTCTAAAGAATTTTCATATTTAATTAATATTTAAGTATTTCTTATTATTTTGTTTTTTTGCACAGGAGTATTTTTTTCTTGCTACACTATTGGCTATTGCGCGCTTGAGAAATGTCCATTTCATGCTATGCTATTTCATACAATACATTTAGTAATGTTTATGAAATGCTTTTAAAACAAGTTTTCAAAAAAAGAAAAAAAAATAATTCAAAACACATAAGTTTTAAGTAATTATTTATAACTCCAGTAAATTTATTGAAAAGTTCAAAATATAATTATAATTTTGGAAGACGAAATAAAACAAAACAACTAAATTTGTAATTTGATAAAAAAAAAAAATTGAGATAATTATATAAATAACATAAAAAGAATATGTATTTTTAAATATAGCATAAAGTTTAAAATTTTTTAAAATAGCATAATTTAATCAGAGTCTAACTTAAATGTTAAGTAACTAATTTATATCCGACCAGAGTTTCTGAGTTCGAATCCCCACCTCTAGATGTGGTAAGAATTTAAATTTCTAGTCAAAGATATATATCTTAATTAGTTGAACTAAACTTTCATTATATTTAAATATGTTGTAAAAATATACTTAAAAAAAGGTTAAAATTACAAACCCCTATATTTAAAAGAAAATTGTGGGATTTTTCACATTAATTTTGTGACATTGAAGGAAATTTCTCAAAAGAAAAAGTTTATGGTTTGTCGAGAAAAACGTGGTACGGTAAGAGGAGTGTAGTTGGTTTTAGGGTATTTGTAATTGTTGGAGACTCGAATTAGGTTTCTTCCGCCGAAGGCTTCTGAGTCGCATCGAGGAAGAGGATGATTCAACTTCTGTTCACAGTAATCGCAGCCGAAATGGCTCTGATTTTGACCCTTCTCTTCAGGACGCCTCTGAGGAAGCTCGTGATTTTGAGTTTGGATCGTGTTAAGCGCGGAAAAGGTCCAATCGTCGTTCAGACCATCGCTGGAACCGTCTTCGTCGTCCTTCTCTCTAGCGTCTATAGCATGGTTAAGATCCAGAACCGTATGATCGAGGCTGGCGAGGTTAATCCCACGGATCAGGTCCTTATGTCCAGTCACTTGCTCGAAGCTTCTCTCATGGGTAATTAACCTCTCTCGACTTCCTTTTTATCTTTTAATTTGTTTTTGCATCTCCCTCTCGCTCTCTGGCTGGGGTTATCAACGGGAGCGCTACCTTTTTCTGTCAATTTTAAGGCGAATGTGTTGCTTATGCTTATTTTATGATTCGAGGGTTGATTAGTTGCGGAATTACTGGCTTTACAAGCATCTGAGCTAGTTGGATTCGACAAAACTGGACTTACTTTTTTCATGTTTACTCTAAAATTTGAAGAAAGCAGTGGGTTATAGTTCGATTCAATGGTTGTGATTTGACATTACTCCTTTTACTAAAATTAAACTTCACTTTATGTGGGCTTCTTCATATGACAAGATCAAACTATCAAATCTACAATTTGGCTCGCTCGCTTCTAGATTGCTTATAAATACATATGTAAATGTATTTTCCTAATCAATAATGGTAGAAATGCCTCATAAATGCGAATGGATTTGGTGCTTACTTATGGTGGAATTCAGCTTGTACATCGTGTACCTGTATTGACGGTGTGTTTGGAAATGTGGTGGAATATCATTTTGAAGGAAATTTCTTCGAAAGCATTTCGGCATAACTCGTAGGAGCATGTGAAAATAATATTATTCTGAATAGTTGATGACAATAGATGGGGGTTTGAATTTTGAAGCCTAAGTTTTCTGTTCTTATCTTATTTTCTTTGTTTGATAAACTAGATTTTACAATTTCTCCCAAGGACTGCAAACTTCTGGCTGATGAAAGATCTTGTTTTGTCACGACCTTACTCGAATAGGATGTGTTCTATAAGCTGTACAATCTTTTTCTTGTGTTCTAAATAATGATTTTGTTTTGTACTTCCATTTGCTTGCAATTTAGCAGTTTTTCCCCATTTTTTTGTTGAGTACTCATGTTGAAAACAACATTTTATCTCCTGGCAGGGTTTTTGCTGTTCCTTGCGCTGATGATTGATAGACTACATCATTACATCCGTGAGCTTCGGATGCTCAGGAAGACCATGGAGATCGCAAAGAAGCAAATTCGAGCGTCAGAGGATGCAAGTGCAGAGAAGCTTAAAGGCCTGGGAGAAGAGGTAACTACCTTGAGGAATAGAATAACCAAACTGGAATCTGAAGTTGAGGCAAAAACAAAAGAAGCAAATGATGCTGAAGCTGGAACAGAGGCCCTAAGAAAGCAATCTGAGGAGTACCTGCTCGAGTATGATCGATTGCTGGAGGACAATCAGAATCTTCGAAATCAGCTGGAGTCGATCGAACATGGCTCTTCATAATCTGACTGAAAAAGAGGCGGTTGTGATCTTTTCTGCATCATGTCGGAGGTTTAAGAAAATGGTGCATTTACGCTTGGCTTCATCAGAGGGCCTCTGGTTTGTTGGGTCCGTACTCTATGAATTGAATTTTAAGCAGGGGAATTGATGGAAAGATGTTATTTTGCAAATTTAGTATATTATTAAAAGTGGGAGCTTAATCCATCTAGACTACTTTCCATGGCTATTTGTACTGTCTTTTAAATGTAACTAAATTGTATATGATATGGTCCATTTCGCTTCTTGTAAGCTCCATGGCATAATCTTTTTTCCACACTGCAAATAAGATCTCATAAAGGCTATTCATTCAGCAGTTCGACGTTGTTGCTCTTGAAAAGTTAGACCGTTATCTAGGGTCGTGACATCGAATAATCTACATAATCGACATGTGCTCTTTGCTTGGAGATTTCAAGTATGCTTGATTTAGTGTCCACGATTCAGCAGAGCAAACATTCAATCAGTTGATCTCAATACATTTTATGTAGTACTAATAAGGTAAACCCTGAGCACAAAACTTCCACTTTGTAGGGTAGTCGTCCATAATTGGATACTCGAAATTCGTATTTAGTTTCTGAAGTTTCAAAAACTTCAATTCTTTGAACTTTGTCTTTACTTTTTAACACCATTGCACAACATGCCTATTTAGTAGATCTTAGTTGAGTTTGAGTAGTGGAGTGATAAAAAAAATCATCTTGGACTGTGATCCTAGGGTCCTCGCACATTAGCATTTTGTTAATATTGTTTGTTAGGGATAGCACAAGGTGACCTTTTACACTTGGCAAGAAAGGACAGATCGGAGGATTGAACCTCAACATAATATCAGTAATGGTCGAGGTCATCCCAATGTACTTTGAAGTGATAACCTCTACCAATCGGCATCTACTCTGGCGGAACTTGCACCGTAATTTTTAGATCCCACCTACCAATAGTATGAATAGCATAGCCTCTCATATATTGAGGTACGCATGTGATTGATATAACTCGTATTGAGAATACTTTGAATATTAAAGATTTGAGCTTGAGGCTTGATTTCTCTCTTTTACATGTTACACATCCACCTGGGAACATCTTATTAATGCATCTTAGGACGTTTAATTTTTCACGCAAGAACAATGTTATTAATTTTATAGACGTTTAAACTTTGATCCGTAAACACTAGAGAAAAGAGAGAGAGGGGAGAAAAAAATGGAAGGTTCTTTCTTAATGTTTCCCATGTCCAACTGGCTGCCACTCGCCAGTCCCACCAACTAGGTAAATTTATTAAACACACAAACCAAACCAAACTAATTTGCAATTTGTCAATTCTAATTAACCACCCTTCAAATTTTGCTTAGGATTTAATTACAAAGATTTTTTACGATCTCTGAGCATTTATAAACCTCAAACCAATAGCAAGTGTAAAAGAAAAGCTGCCTCTCTTTTACTAAATAAAACCTCATTGGCTCAACTGAAGAATTCAAGAGATTTAGTTAATTGTGAGCAGCAAGATTCCTCTGGGTTATAACTTATAGCCTTCATTCAAAATTCAACTTCTCTTGACCCAATAGCTTCTTTCAAGTTTCCTTTATATTCCTTGAGGCTTCACCACAGTCGTAGAAAACCAGCTAGCTAGCTTGTTAAAGAAATCAATTTAATTATACTGTTTTTAATAAATGTCATAATTGATTTTTCCCTCCAATCGCATAAACACCCTACAATCAATATTTATCCACATCAATTGAAAATGTCGATACTTCAATTTTATGAAATATCGATGAAAATATTGATAAAATTTTAATATTAATATATTTCTAGAAAAATTATAAAAATAAACAAGATCATAACAAATATTTAGAATAACAAAGGAGTATTTCACTCTTTTTTAAATAAGTTAAAAGTTATTAATATTAATATTTTGTTTATATTAGTGATATTTTGTTGATATATTTTATGATATTATGAAAATGTTAATAGAAAATGTCACATTATTGAGTGAAATTTAATATTCTATCTACAGTAGACAAACAAATGAGGTTGGTTGGAATCTTCTTACTAACCACTGTAAGTTTTATAACTATTTGTACTTTTAAAGAAAGAAAAATCTATTCTCCCTTTCTACGTTGTACTCTTTTGTAAAAAAAAAAAATCCATAATTATGATAATTAGGAGTGGGTATTAATGCACTAATATGTTTTTTTTAATAGAACAAGTGGGGTGAGGAACAACATTATGGTTGGAGGTAATTCCGCTAAACTATGTTCATTTTGACTAATGCACTAATATCTTAAATCACCATTAATCCAAAAACTTAAGTTGCGTTGTTGTAAATTTGTAATTGTGTAGATATTAATTGAGAAGAAATGACAGTGCATAGAGTGGCCTCGTACACTAATATAATATTAAACCGTCTATACGTTCAAAAGGTAAGTTGATGATATTTTTATCAATACTTTAAATTTTTAACAACCATATTTTGCTGAAATTAAAATTGAGAAAAGAGAACATTATCATATCCCCAAACCCACAATATTAATTCTCCACCTAGGCCAAATGAATCTTTCTTGTAAGTTAGCTACAAAATATTATTCATCAGACAAACTTATTCCACACTTTAATTAACTAACACTATTGAAAAAAATATATTTAGCCCAATAAAATGAACTCCCTCACACTCACTACATCAAGAAAAAGGAAAAAATAAGGTACGAAGAAGCCCATTTGAATCCCCTTCCCAAATGGCTCCACAGTTCCTAACAAAGCTTTCCCTGGCACTAATTCTCGCAACCGCCGTCATTTCCACTTCCGCCGCCGCCAGCAAGTTGAAAAAGACCAATCTAATTTTGTATTTTCAAGACTTCGCCAACGGCCCAAACGCCACATTCACCACAGTCGCCGGAATCGCGGGAAAGCCGTGGAATTTCACAGAGTTCGGGACCATTTTCGTGACGGACGACCCGATCACCGCCGGGCCGGCTCCGAACTCGACGGCGCTAGGGCGAGCTCGGGGGATATACGCCGTGACGGGGCTGGACGGCCAGAACTTGCTGGTCGTGCTGTCGCTGGCGTTGGCCGACGGGAGCAGCATCGAAATACAAGGAACAAGCCGACAATTCGAAGGCGTGAGAGAGCTGGGCGTGGTGTCGGGGACAGGAAAATTCCGGTTCGCCACAGGCTACGCCATTGCTCGAAATGTTGTAACGGACATTCCCAATGGCTACACCGTCATTCAGTTCAATGTTACGGTGAAGCATTACAGAAGATCTTAATGGACCGGCCCACACGTGTCCAAATCTCAAAGCTTTGGTTCCCCGAATGTAACTGTTGAAGCTACGTCAATAAATTTTCGACTAAATATATGTTTTAGTCGTTATTGTTAACGTTGGATCCATTTTTTTTTTAAATTTAAAATGTTTTAATTTAATGTAAGTGCTTGAATTTTTATTAGTTATTTTATTACTTAAATTCTTTCTGAAATTTTGAATTGGTCATTGCAGTTTGCACGGTGGAGTTGAGACTTAATTTCCACTGTCTAACAATGTTTTATGGGATTATTTAGGATTGGGTTACCTATCAAATATTTAAATTAAATTTACCTCTGTTTAAGTTTTAGATTGATTGATAATTTATTCCTCACTGACAAGTTGTGATCTTAAAAATTCTTTTTAAATTTATCTCAAGAAGAACGTAGGTTGAGTTTTTAGAGAAAATTAGAATCTTTAGTCTAATAGCACAAGCTCCCATAGTTTTTCATCAACACCTTAATTAAATTATTGGATAGGGTAGCAATGTGCCTGACAACTTTTTTTCTCTATAAAATTGATTTACAAATTTGATTGCTATGATCGGAGGTAAGTATCCCGTTGTAATTTTTAATCTTACATTTATTCTCTTATGTTTTAACATTTTTTTTTTTTAATTTAGCTTCTTATTGTTGGTAAATATTAAAAGTGAGTTAATGATAAATTTATATGACATACTCATTAATACACTTCTGAAAATTTAGAGGAGGGAAGAAAGGTGAGAGACGTTAAATTTTTAAGAAATTGGCAGAAATTTAGGTTGTTTTTGTAACTTTTTTCTCTCCTAAAATTTTCTAATTTATTAAAGATCAGGCGATGTATATTTAGCAACATCTAATTTTAATATTTGCCAATCGTGAGAGAAAATACTAAATTAAAACTTTTTAAACCATATGAACTATCTTGGAAAAAACTCTAAAATGTTAGAGATTAAAACATATATTTATTTAACCCGAATGTAATGTTATTTAAGATGCGACTAGTTTTATGTCATAAACTGATAATTATTAATTTGGATTTTCGTTTAACGTAGTTTATTGAATGGTAATGGTGGCTGGCTTTGGTCTCGCTGCATGTGAGATCATTTTTCCCTACTGATCTATTCTTTTTAGTTGTGGCCAAAACTCAGAAGTGTATCTGTAGATTGGGCTTGGCTAGTGATGTAAATTAATTAGAAATTAAAAAAAATAAGGCATTTTAATGAAAATATATTTGTATTCTATGTTTTTACTATTTCCAAAATGGTGTTCACTAGCTGATTAGATGTCATCAGAATGTATTTTAAAAAATTAATTCATTAGACAAACATTTATTGGATTTTTTATACTATTGCTATTTCTTAAAATATACTATCCACCAGACTATTTTAAAATAACGCTTCAAAATAGTGATTGTTCTTGAATAGTCGGCAGCATGCCACCTCTTCTGTCATCTCTTGAAGAGACAATCATACTGGATGGTGAGCAGTTATGCAGCTTATGGTCACCACTTAACATGAGCCGATATATTCCTTTTGAAGTTAATATACCTTGTATGGTGGAAGTAGCTAGCTTGTCCTTTAATTTAATTTGGAGTTTTTGAGTTTGAGTCTCCCTAATTCTTTTTTTCTCTTTTTAGTCAATAAAATGCTATATCACACCTTTTTTTTTTTAAATCTTACTTATTAAATACAATTTATCTCCCATTCTAAAATAAAATAACTTTTTCTAAAAAAATACAAAGTAATTTATCTTCTATCCTAAAATATATATAGTGGTGATTTAACATATTAGTGCATTAATACCCACTCTTTAATTTATATAAATGTTACTTCTAATTTAATAGTAACCTTTTTATTTTATTCTAGATAAAGATTGTTTAAAAAGAAATCAAAGTGCAATATAGTATTTTATTGGCTAAAATGGAAAAAAGGGAAAGGTTTAAAAATATATCAAACTTAAAACCCAAAAAATCCAAATTAAAGGGTAAGGATCTAGCAACAAAAGGAGTGGTTGAGAAAAGTATACGTCGTCTTTTAAAGAGACAACCATGTTAGGATTATATATATATATATATATTAGTCAGACGTGATACTAATAAAGTACTTACGTCTCAAGGTCATCTCTTTGCTGTGAACTATTTATAGGGCATCTATTCGAGAGACGACCAATTATTTTCAAGTATTAATTATTTTTTAAAATAGTTTGATCGACATATTTTTGGAAATAATTAAAAAAACAATATTAAAAGAATATTCCGAAATTTATTGGACTCATGTGATTTAGTGATTTAATATGAAAATTAAAAAAATTAAATGATAAGATACCAACTAGATTATTTTCACTCCATTTTAGTTTTTAAAGTTCAACGAATGGAAAGTTAGTTTATTTTTTGAGATCAAACATCTAGGAATAATCTACCAATAATTTACTTAAAATGCAGCCAAAAAAACTACAAAACATTAGACCGTTCAAATCTAGTAAAAAAGGAAAAAAATTTAAAATTTAGCATAGTATTATTGGTTAATTCATCAAGTAATAAATGTTCAAATCTCCACTCTAGATGGTTGACTTTATATCACTAAAAAATAATTAAATAAAAAATGTGTGAGCCTAAGGCTACAATATTGAAACCTAACAAAAACAAATGCCAAAAGTACCTATTAAATAACCTCGCCTTTCTAAATGAATGCAAGGGCCCTCGAATATAATTTCGAAGAAAAATTACAATTATAACCTCAGATTTAAAAATTTTTATTACTCCAAAGTTAGTTTTATAGTGTTATATCTCCAAAATAGTGTGATTTTCACGAAGTTTACATAGTTTACTTTTAGACAAAATCATATCAATAGAGGTCCATCTTACCTCTATCCATGAAATTTTTACCACTATTTTTACCATTATTTACATAATTGATGTAGGGCATGCTTTGGTCTAACAGTTATTTTGCTCGTTTTTCTTACGTGTTTGATTGCATGATATATGTTGCAATTAAAACAAAATGTCAAATTTTGTTGGGTTAGATTGATTTCTCTCTCTCAATAGGGTTGCTTTAATTCTTTAGTTTTAGACTTTTTGTTAATAGCTCAATTATTAATATGCCATAGAGCTCAATCTTTTTGGGGCTAAATTGAAGTGGGACTCTAAAAGAAATGCCTTCCCTATTTCTCCATCTCCAATAGAGAAGCCTACGTGCTTGAACAAACATCACACCATGTTACATTTAATGCAATGTCCTTCTCCCAATTTATCAAATTTAATTGTCTAAGGTGCTCCTAGCTAGGCTATTTAATAAGACATACTGTTTTAACTATTTCTCGATCTCTTCTCTATTTTATATTTGGATTCTCTTCTCCAATCAGAATATAGTATTGTAATTACCGGGTGGACATAATTTTTGACCTATAAAACGATTATCGATATCTTAAACGTTGAGTTGTGTTCAAGTTAACTATTTCGTGTCTGATGGTTTGGGTTGAGAATGACTCTTTAGATTAGTTAGTCCATCATTTGTTTAAAGTTGATTGTTCAGTTATCTCTTCTTTAGAACTCTTTTATTGATCGAAGTATTATCTTTCTTCTAATCTTAAGATGTGAAAAGTTGTGGCTCAATGACTTCTTGGCATTTCCTTCTCTATATATTGATAGCGTGATCTTTTTTTATTTCCCTTAATCATCATTCTTAATTAACACCGAAACTAAAATTAGTCTCTATCCCAAAGCTTGTTTTACATTTATTTATAATATATAGTTCAATAGACTTCTTTTAATTCAATTCAAATTATTTGGCGCGATCATATTTAATAAAAAGTGAATTCTTTTCTAAAAAGAAAAATTATAGCAAATGGTTGTTCCAACTTCAAGTTAATGGGAGTTAGTTAATTAAATGTCTTCCCCATTTCACAATTAATTACTGGTTGGCCTAAAAGATGGTCCTTTTTTATTTAATTTATTTTGACATTGAAAAAATAATGAGAATGACAGATATTTGACTTTCGTGGTATAGCCCAAATGACTGTTAATTTTAAGTTCCGAGCCTATGACATGGTCCCAATATCCTCATTTTTACCTTTTTTTTTTATTATTAACTCATTATTGAATATTATGATAATTTTCTCATTAATTTCCCATTGCATTTCCAAAATGTGTAGCTCCTTAGAATAGAGTAATCCCGTATGTAATTAATGTTGATCAAATATTTCCAAAATGTGTAGCTCCTTAGAATAGAGTAATCCCGTATGTAATTAATGTTGATCAAATTTATATAACTTAATAGATTAATTTATACATCTTCTTCAACTAAATGTACGAATTCCTATTCGTACATATTGTTGAACTCAAATTTTTTGTGAAGTTTTAATTATTGGATTTATTCAAATTAAGTTGAAGAACTTATTATTTATTAGATAAAATACTCAAATTTTATGGATGAAACTTTATAATTTAATCCTATTATTTCAATAAATATAGCATTTAATTCTATCATTTATTTCAATTTTAGTTTGTTATTATTTTTGTCAATATTTACTCCTCTTCTTCTTCAAAATATATGTTGATATATATTTACTCCTCTATTGTTGTGCCTGTCGTGTCAAGTTTTGGATCATAGTATAAAATGGATATTATATTATTTATTTTCACGAAATTCATTTGTCGTTTTTAGACAAAATATATAAATAGGAGTAGAGAAAAATTTTAACTTTAACTGAAAATTTTAAAAGCAATTAAAAATTTACCGTCATTAAATTACTAAATAACATTCTTCGATATATGTACACCAAGTATTACTTCCAAATAACCAAATTTAGTGCATATATTATAAACACATTTCTTACAAATGTTTAAAGTAATACGTAAATTTCTCTTTTAAGCTGAAATTTTATCTCCTACCAATGTTAGAGAAACTTTTAATATAACAAAAGATGTGTTATTACAATTTTAATTAACTATATTAATTCTTTAGTAGTCTCTAAATAGATTTACCAACCCTCAATTAATCAATTTAATCTTGAATTATTGATACCTTTTAAACGTAAGCTATGAGTGGGTTTAATAAATGTTTTTGGACTTATAAAAGAATGTTTTTTGCTAATAAAAAATATCGATGTGCTTAGTACATGATTAAAATAATTAACTTAAAAATGCTTAATTATTATTTAATATTCTTTAAAAAGTATGAAAATTCTACTTTATTTTAAAATACAACTCAAAAAAGTAATTCAAAATACTCTAAAAGAATGACTAATATCCGTTTTAAAGAGAATGAAAAAGTTTGTCAATGGCTTGGAATTTATGTGGAGAGGCTATTTATTAAGGCCAAAAGTGAGACCTATTCATTTAAGAAGTATAATAAAGATAAAAGTTAACCATGTGAATAAATTTGAGATTAGATCGTTAAGATAGTCCTATCCAACTAAAAGATGGAGACTTTGAATTTATACGCCGTTGTAAAATACATATATATTCTAAATTATAATTGCACGAAACTTTTAAAATTACTATATTTGCGAGAAACCCCAAATGAAATTGTGGTAGGTAAAATTGGGGCAGTTTTAGAACTTAGAGAGAGAACCAACAAACGAAGTCCACGTGGAAGCATCTGGACCAGTGAAGGTACGATGGAATGCTTAGTAGACACTCTCATAGCATAATCTTGAATTGAATTGAATTAAAGTAAATGGAAATCCAAATGTGCAGAAACAACGTCCACAGCTCATTGTTTGAGTTTATTTTGGTTATGGCATTGGCATGCGGTGCGTTTAAGTCTTACTGAACTTTTGAATCCCAATTTTAAAGGACAAAACAAAACCCTCTCCCTCATATTTTTATGTTCAAAATTTTGAATAGCTAACCAAATAATACACTAATTATCTTCTTCTTTGAAGTCGAAGCTTCGATTGATTTTATTCTGTAGAGCTGGGGAAGAAAGAATAATAGGCAGCGAAAGGGAAGAGAGGGGGAGGGGAGATGCGTGGACGCCAACCTCGAGGTTGAAAGAATTATTTATAAACGGAAATTAAAGAAAAAGAGGAAAAGAGAGAGGAGACAAAATAGGATGTTGGGCAAAGAGTAGTAATTAAGGTCACAACTCACACATGGCAATGCATAGCCTCTAAAAACTAATTCGACCGACGGTGGATGGGAGTTGGGCCATTCGCTCATTTACCAAAACTCAGCTCCCTTCTCCAACTTTGCCTCTTCCTCCTCTCTTCTTCAAAAACTTCCAACCCTTTTTTATCATTCTGTCTGGGTTTTTTCTGTTCAACTAATCACACAACAAAAACTAGTCCTTTTCAATCTCATCTCTCCCTTCCACTCACAAAGTTTCTTCAGAGTTGCTCTTTTTGGTTTTGGTTTGGTGCCGAAACTTGTTTGAGCCAACAACAGGATTAGGCATGCCTTGTGCTGGTCTAAGATGTGGAATGTCATTAGCATAGGACTGTTTTAAAAGTGCTCTCGACTGTGATTCGACATTGAATAACGGAAAAAAAGAAAATAAAATTGGAGTGGTCTTAATATCTACAACAAAAATATGGATCATGAATGTGGGAGTAATAAGTGCAAGGAGTCGTTTCCCTTACACATCTTTACAGCAAGCAGCTCCGAAGACAACTGTTGTACAATAAATACGCCCAATACATAGCACCTAATTACTGAATACGAAACAACAAAAAGGTTCAAGTTATTAAACTGAAATCAATAAATATAAAAATAGAGAGAGGTATTGAATTGAATCTCATAATATACTTGGCATTAGAGGAACAAACTTGGGTGTTTGAAAATGAAAATGAAAACAGAGATGATTATTATTATTATTATTATTATTATTATTATTATGTAGAAGACTAATTTTGCTACAACTATGGTCTGCCAAATCATTCCTTGTAATCCTACAACTAACATTCTTACATCTGAATTCCATTTCCAACCACTCTTTGCCGCCACTACGTCTCTGTTTCTCACCCCAACCATAATTACTACAAACTCCCGTTTCTGAATCTGACCCACCAATCATGTCGCCTTCATCACCCACTTCTTCGCTTTTTTCAATGTCTTCTCTTCGAATTGTGATCCAATTCTCTTCCTCCTCCGTCCATCTGGGCTCCCCTGAGGCCACTGACAGCCGTCGGATCTGCTCTGCTGCCCAACTACTGGGGTCTCTCATTTTCAATTTGGATTCTGTAATTTCAGTTTCAGTTTCTTCAATTGAACTCCAAATCCCCTGTTCCAGAATACTCCTTGGGGAATCTGAATGCACTTTCTGGATTTGCTTTGGGGTGGGAATTGAATTCAGTTCTCCCAGAAATGGGTGTTCGAGAAGTTGAGCGGCTGTGAATCTCTCGTTTGGGTTCCTCCGTAAGCACTTTTCTAGAAAATCCTTTGCTCGATGGGATAGGAAAGATGGGATTTCCGGCGATTCGCCGGAGTAGCCGATTCGGTACAGCGCGGAA